GACGATGCCTACAAATTATATTTTATTTTGATCTCTTCACAACGGTTCCTCCAAATCTGTCGCCCCTCCTCCGACATAGTGCTGGGATCCATATAAAATATCTTCATCTCAGCGTTCTTGATTTGTTGTTTTTTCAACTCATTTTTCGTATCCAAACTTTGTTTATTCATTTTTCGTATCCAAACTTTGTTTATTAATTTATTGATTAATAAATATCATATTATAGTGTGTATATATATATATATATAATATCATAATTAAATCCTTACAAATTTAATTATAAAAGAAAATATAAATTAGTGGGTCCCATTGACCTCTTCACGATGCGTACAATGGCCATTAATTAACCTCCCTTCACAATGCATGATGCATGTAATGACTCTCATTAACCTCCATTGGAGATGCTCTTAGGATCATCTACGAGGGAAAGAAATTTTTTTTTTTTTTGATAAGAAGTGGTAAATACACCTTTATATTGTGTAAATGTTATATTAGATTTTTATGAATGTGTACGTTGTTCACCAATTTCTATGAAGACAGTCACTTTCATCATACAATATACATGTACATTCACATATATTATGTGAATGTTAGCATTTTCTCACGAAAATATGACATTTCTAACCGAAACCCATCCCTGGTTACATAATTAATGGGTTTACATAATTTTGTATAATTCCTTAACTGAACTTGTGTTAATGTATATATATATATATATATATATATATAGGAGATGATCTTTCGAGGAACCGATACAGTTGCCATTCTTCTGGAATGGATCATGGCAAGAATGGTTTTACACCAAGACATTCAAGCAAAGGCTCAAGAAGAGATCGAAAAGCAGGTAGGGAATCATAGGCATGTTCAAGACTCAGATATCCCGAATCTTGTTTATCTTCAAGCCATTGTCAAAGAAGTCCTGCGGTTGCACCCACCCGGACCGTTACTTTCCTGGGCTCGTCTTGCTACTCATGATGTTCACTTAGGTAAGTTCATGGTCCCAGCCGGAACCACAGCCATGGTCAACATGTGGGCTATCACACACGACCCAACCATATGGAAAAACCCATGGAAGTTCAGGCCCGAAAGGTTCATGGAAGAGGATGTTCCAATTATGGGTTCGGACCTTAGGCTCGCACCATTTGGTTCTGGTCGTAGGGTTTGCCCGGGGAAGTCACTAGGGCTAGCCACGGTTCAGTTGTGGCTAGCTCGACTTCTCCAGCAATACAAGTGGGTTCCTGCAACTGCAAAGCAGGTAGACCTTTCGGAGTGCCTAAAGCTATCTCTTGAGCTCAAGAACCCACTCGCTTGTCGTGCCATTGTACGGTAGATCAGAACGTACGTACACTTATATATAATTCTACGTACTATTGTTAAGGAACTTAAAATATTTCCTTTAAATACGTAAATAAGTTGCATGCCGTACTTGTGGCTCGTACGAATGTACGTAGGTTGTTCGATATCAACGCTTTCTCTATATATGGTGCATATATATATATGTATGTATGTATATATGTATCTCAATAATTAGAAGTTGTATGTGTACACATGCATGGGGTTTGAATAACTAGAATTGGTTCTAATTAAGTGCTTAGATGATTAATCTGTTAATCATATGGTTAATTACATTGTATCTACCTATACTTCAATCATGTATTGTGTTAACCAAAAGTTAAGTTTCGGTCTTTTCAAAGTGTCGTTTTCTTAATCGTCTGAATAAAAAAGAAACTAAATGGCTTTGCAAAACGGAAAACATCTTGATTAATTATCACCTAACATTGATCAAGAAATAACATAATCTTATATATGATAAACGTAAACTCTAATTTTTTTCCTCTTCCCTCTTTCTAGAGACTATTTACGTGTTTATATATGTAATCTAAAGATGGTTTCAGATCGCAGGTAAAATAAGAATAATTTGTTTAATAAGCAATGTACATCAAATTAACCATTTAATTTATATTCGAATAAACACATAAACTATATATATTTTTTTTTAATTTATTAATTAATTTAATACTAAAAACTTTCTAAGGAGATCTTTTGGATATTAAATGGATCAAAAGCTATAAACCCTTTTTGACAAAGATTTTTTGGAGTTTACCCCTAAAGTTTTGGCTTTTTGTTTGATCATACATCTATATGCCCATAGACATGATGTAAAGAAAGATTAGGTTTTCGATTGCTTGATATTATTTATTATTATATGGATGGAGCAAAATGTTGTCACTATCTAAAGTGCAATCTCCATTTACTTGTAGCTTTTAGTATGGATGATCCAAGCCATATATTGTTGATAATTAATGGCAAAATTGGGGTGATTGTAGTAAGGATGATGGAGAGTATGATGCAATGCACGATTTCATTCATTGGAAATGTGTTTGATATATATATATATATATATATATATATATTAGCATTACAATAAGTTGTTACGACGGAATTAATTGACCAAACAAGTTTTAATCTAATAGCACACAAGATGTATATCATCTTATTAATCTTTTTAAGACACTTTTTTAAAAGTACACTATAAATTTGAGTCATTAAATTGTTTGGTTTCGTCGACAGTACTTGTTAGGTTCTATTAAACATAAATTATTTGTTATATACTATCAGTCTTCTAGTATATAATTGGAAGTGTTTGATTTCAAATTGATTAAGCTATATTAAATTGTTTTGATTTTTAAGAACTGGGCTTAACATGGTAAGCCGTCCACCTTTAATTTCTTAATTCATTAAGCTAAGGTTTTTTTATTCGAAATTACCTTTGTGCTCTATTACTTATAATTGCATGTCTCATTAAAAAAAATTATAATTTACCAATAAATATATAAATTAAAATTTGTAATCAAATAATAATATTTAATTGTTTTTAAAATATTTTAAGTTATTAAATATTCTGTAATAAACTCGTTAATTTATATTATTTATGTTATTTTATATAATTAATACAATTTTAGGTTTTTTTGTCATTTAAAAGATTTATTGAACAATTAATTTTCATTTAACATTTAGGTAGAAACAAACAAAATTAAAATGACAATTTTTGCTACTATTTTTTTGAGCTAAAAATCAAACCTTAAATTATCTTTAATTCATTATTCTAAGCAAATTACATAAACTAGTAGACCAAAAAATAGAAGGGCTCCTAATGGAGGTTATTATATATAAGAACTCATTTTTTATATATTTTTTTTCTTTGCCAAGTCATTTTCAACTCACAAAATCAATAATCTTATAAAAACCCATATTGTGAGTCTCATATATAATATATAAGTTAAATAAATATATACATATTAATTATTATATTGGGATATAAAAGTCAAGAAAATATATAAAGAAAACCCTAGCAAATTGTCACTTTTCAATACTAACTTCAAGGTAAGAACTAAGAACCACGATTCTTGTACAGGAACTCAAAGAGATGATGTTCTTAATTATAACAAGTCTCAACAATGTTGATTTTGGTAAAACTCTATGTTTTTTGCTTAGAAAAACCTTATATTGGAGATGCTCTAAAAACGGGTAGCTTATTGGTGCTTTGATTATCGATGACGAAGACCATCTGTTCTAGGACTCTTAGGGGCCATTTACCCAAATGCTTAGCCGGTAAGCACTTACCAATAGGAGTCAACACTATAATTTATTTTGATGCGTAAAATTTTAGTACATCAAAACCTATCGAATGCAACAATTTACTGGGTAAGAGTCGTCATCCTCACTTACCGGGTAAGACTCTACGTACATCCTTCTCATCACTCTTACCCAGTAAGATTATTGGCCCTTCTCATGTTTATCCAATGAGGAAATTTATACGTTAAACACTTAACAAGTAATTATTTAGTAAACGGCCCCTTAAACTCATAATTTGGATTGAGATGACTTTTTAAATTGTTTATTCTATCAAGATTTGCAAACTAATTAAATTTAAAATTTTGGATCATTGTAACCGGTTCTTTATAAGATCCGTTCTTATATAACTTGTTTAATTAAAGATTTTGTACTTTAGATATGTCAATATGAATATCAAATTTAAGATAATAGAATACTCGGTTTTTGTATAATTTTTTAATTAAAAAATTGATTATATTTAAGATAATTTAGATTCTTTTAAGGATAGATCTATAAGCTTACAAAAGGGGAGGATTGACCATTGACGATGCTAGTTCGATATCCCTAGTCCTAGCTAAATTGGTCATCAGTCCGGTCCTGACCACCAGCCGAGTCGGCAGTCAGCACTGGCTTAAGGTTATCTTGGGCTACCTAAATGTTCAAGAAGAAATAAAATTATAGAGCCCAAATAATTTAGTTTTTAGAAGGTCCATGGTAACCATGATCTCTCTACCACTACTGTATGGATAAAGCTAACTTTTTGAATTTATCTGTAGAAATGGATTGAGAGAGTATGGACAAACCTAGCTATTTGAATTAATCTGTATAAATGGATTGAAAGGGTTTTTTCATAGATGCAAGGAACGTGTTTTGTTAATTGGAAGAGACAGGTGTGGAAAAATTTGGCTTTGAGCTCTCTTCTAGAAGTTTACTGAATAATCCACTTTTTGTATCATTAAGCCGCTACAAACAATCATGTACAGCTAACCAACTAACCGAATAAGCTGTGAGTGTCATTTAACTTATTAAGATGTTAACAAAAAAAAGCTTTTAGTTATTTCTGCAAATTTTGGGCATTTTTATTCATATTGGCTTACCTTTTATTGGTAGTAAAAGCTAAAATCAGAAGGATTTTGCTTATCACATCAGCAGAAATTAAGTGGACACTTAAGCAAAACCATAATCAGATCATTTGATATATTAAGAGGATCACTATAATATTTTTTGGATTGAATGTTGAAATCAATAAAATATTTTTATATACTTGCTTCTTTCGCTTTATTAAGAGGATCACCCTAGGTTATTTTCCTGGCTCCGCCCCCGGTCCTAACCATCAAAGTTGGCCATTCTTTTTATGTTGTATTTGGCTAGCTAGGTTAGAAGAAAAGATTTCACATAATTCTCAAATTAAAATTTTATTTGGAAAGTCGAAGCCTCTACTGAACAGTTGCATAACAACGATTCAAGGGCAAAAAGATCCAACCGCTACTTTATTAGTCTCGTCTGCAGTCGAAGTTGTGCAACATTTTGTCAGAATCTGGGGGCCATCACCTGCTTGGACCAACCTTCTTTCCTGCAGGGTAAGACCCAAAAATGAACGAGTTTCGAGGATGATGCATTTGTATAGCATATCAAAAAAAGTTTTACACCCACAAAATGGAACAAATTTTGGCACTAACTTTCATTTTAAGTTGATAATTTCAAAACACTAAACTCGGTTTGTTAAATAATTGATTCCACCTACCCTTGTTAGATTATGATACAAGTTTTTGTATTAAAAAGTATTGGGTTACAATTTTAGGCTATAGTAGTAGTTGTTACCCTTGCAACCAGAGGTTTTGAACATCTAATTATGAGGGGTAGTACACTTTCAACAAGGGAAGTAGATGTTATTGTTGACCCACTACACAAGTAAAACCCACCTGAAAACTATCCTCTCGTATGTTGTCATCATAACCCATCATGAAAGCATACAAGTTCTTGTTTTTTGGTCGCCAATATGATGACATTATAGCTTATACTCGAAAACAAAGGGGGCATAATTTGGGAAAAGTGACTGAAATTCCGATATTTCCAGATTAAAAAATATATGTCCGCAAAGTTGTGTAAGGATTCACATTTGCTTAAAGAATTTGCATAAGTATCCCCATTTGCGTAAAGATATTTTTTTCTTTTTTTTGTTAATCTGAAAATAGACTGTTATGTGAACTCTGACTAAAATAAGAATTTGGTTCCAAAGATGTCTAAAAAAATGAATTTGGTAGGAAAGATTGGTTATTTTGGTCAATTTCCCCATAATTCGAGTCCTGGACTTACATTTCAAAACTCAATTGCAATGAATTTATGTTTCCTTTTATTTTTATTTTTTGGACAATGGCAATTAGATTATACTCTATCAGCAGGCATTGCAAACAGAGCAGTGATTATGATAAGACAATACCAAGTATTACCATCATACATCAAACGAATCAAAATACTAATCAAGCACTTAGTTCCATGACTAAAATAGTTAACTGTGACTGGCAGAAATTGATTAAAGCAAACAAATTTACCCACTAAAGGGAAATTTGGCTTCCAAAAATGTATCATATTTTCCTAGTTTTGTTTCCTCATGTTCTGTTTGACTCCCTCCAAATTGGGTTTCCTCATCTCAGACTTGTTTCAGCCTGACATAATTTTATACATATGACAATTATGCTAGTAAAAAACAACAGTCTCTGTGGTTTCGTACAAAGAGTAAACAGCCATAGCGATGGATAAATATGCTAGGGAAAAGAAAGAACAAGCTCTTTAATAAAGGCATAGTTATCACTTCTTTTGATCCATTTATGTTCTTATAATATGTTGGTAAGGCATATAAGTTGAAATCAAATGCATAATCAAGTAGATGCAAAATTAACAATGAGGATATTTTGAATCATCATGGCTAAGAGATATTTATCGAGCTCGGTTGATAGCAACCCCTGAATTCAAATAAAACAAAATTCAAGATAGGAACTCACAATTTATTTGGAGGTTGAGCCAACCTGGTGCTCTCGCAGGAGATCATCATAGGGGTCCCTACGACCTCGGACATGGCTAATCTGAGCATCCCAGAAAATCTGAGAATTGTGGCGGTCAAATGTCCAGAACCCGTAAGGACGAATAGGGTAGCTCCACATCTCTTTTGTCTTCTCACAATGTTCCCTTAGATCATACATATGGTCTCTGAATTTGCGATCTCTTTCAACTGGATCCTCCATCAACCTCAGAATTAAGTTCTCGGCAAACTCCAAGATAAATGCCATTTTTATCTCCTTCAGAGACGACCCGAACAAAACATATGAAACAAATTTTCACGTATCAATTTAGCATAAAGCCTTCAATACATAATCAGAGAAAGCACCAAACAGGCACGCACAAAGTACGAACTCATTGAAACCTAAAACTTATAAAACAAAATTCGAACAACAAGTGAAATCGTAGGTTCCACGAATTAATTCAGCAGGTTCAATATATAAATCGTAAGAAAACAGGCCAACAGCTTTCAGAAAAAAATTATTCATGAAACAGATGGACTGACGATGAAATACGTTAAAATCCTAACACAAATGACGATGTTAGGATTGAATATACGACCTTAGCATACCTTGAAATGTGGTATTATGAGTAATAACATAAACGTACATGAACTATGAATTTTACAACACACCAGCCGCTAATCTATCAGTTAACGTTGAACTTATCGTCGTTGCATGCGACATTGATTTCGATTTTCAGCAATTCAAACGAAACAGGGTAGAAACTGAGTGATGGAGAATTGCAATCGAACCCTTAATTGATGATAATCCAAACAAAAAACGCAAAATGTGAGTCTACAACTCAAATAAAACAACAGGCGTCGAACCGAAGATTAAAACCCTAAGTTTTCCATTTCAATTCTGTAAAACTACGATAGCATAGTCAAACAGCACAATTCTAAGAGCACATATTCATAACATCAATTCGATAAAACAAACAATCACGAATTCAATTACAGAAGCTTGAGCATTACGATGTAACAATAGATCTCAACAAACGAAACCAAAGATCTAACGGAAACAAGCAAAAATTGAATAAAAATGGAGCTTCGTAAGAATCATAAATTAATCAAAATATCATTACCTTGATCGAAACGATCTATGAATAAGAAGTAGGAGATTTTTCTAGTCAATTTGTTCGTCTCAGCATGTGATCGTTTATATATTGAAGTCCATTAGCGTTAAAATCATATTTGGGTCAAGTTTATATGGAATCGTGGATTGAATCCATGGGCTTTCTATTTTTGTTTTCACATTAATTTTTTTTCAAAAAAACATGATATAACGGATAAATTTAATTTAAAAGGTTATTCAATGCTATAACGGGTAAATTTTAAAAAATATGATGTACTAATAAAAATTAGGGCAAATTGCATGAAAAAGTAACGTAATTTAACTTGATTCCTATTTTGGGTAACATACTTTCAAAACTTCTATTTTGGTACTTAAGATGTAAAGTTTTAAACATTTAAGTACCTGAGTAACTGATTGAAGTATTAACCGATTATCATGCTGATGTGGCGAGTGATGTGGTATCTAACTCGGTATTATTTACTGACGTGGTTAGTGACGTGGATTTTTTTAAATATAAAATTAGTCTTTTTTTTTATCTAATTTTAGTCTTCAGTGGTTATCCGGGTACTTAAATGTTTAAAACTTTACATCTTAGGTACCAAAATGGAAGTTTTGAAAGTACGTTACCCAAAATAGGAATCAAGTTAAAGTACGTTACTTTTTCATGCAATTTGCCCTAAAAATTATTATAAAAATACAATGTTATAATAAGAAAATTTGTAAAAGTAGGTTATTGTTTCGCGCATTTTATCCTAAAAATAATAAGTAAACTACAAATTTGGTCCATACGTTTTATCAAAAATAACATTTTTCTGTCTTTATAGTTTCGAAATTACAAGATGACCATTGTGATTTGCAAAAACGTTCGAATTTGTTCTTTATCTCTAACGGTCATTATAAAATTCTGCTAAATGAGGGTTATTTTCGTTCATTTATTGTTAATTTTTTGCTTTTTTACCCAATCAAAAATCATAGGGACCAAACTCATAAAATCTATTTGATTAGGTAAAACACAAAAAAAAAATCGATAAAAATATGAAAATGTCTCTCATTTAATCGAAAATTTTTATTAGAGGTGATCATTTGCAGTTCTAGGCTGGTTCAGGTTGGGTCTAACTTGTTTTTTTTTTTGTCCAATGGACCTAACATTTTAAACTCAATCCCTTTTCTTCAGGGGGCTTGACAACTTGTCATTGTCTGCCCCATAAATAGGTCGGACTTACCCATGGGCTAATGGGCCTAAAAAGTGTAACTCTTATAATCTATAAACTTGATCATTAGCAATTAACTAACAAATGTGGAACCAAAAAATAAAGGAAAACATCGTTGCAGTTAAAATTTTAAACAACTAAAGTGACGCATGGATCTCAAGAAGTGGAGAAAAAAAATGAAAAACAAAATTCAGAGTTGAACCTCTTAATTAGATCATTAAGAAGTAAAAAAACAACCAAATAATCACCATCCTATAACTTTAATAATTTAATTTTAAAATACACTAGTATAATTTTAAACAATTATAAAATATATAAACGGAGTGGACGGGCCTGTCCATATTTATTTTTACATTGTCCATGTTCGTCCGTTAATTTTAACAAACAAACCCGGGCTCATCCATTTTCTCCATAATGGTTGTCCAAGCCCGTATTTCTAACAGGCCGGATGGAGTCATCCCGCCCATGAACAACTCTACTTTTAATGCTAATGGACTAATCCAAGACGTTTTTAGAAAGATGAAAATGTATCCCATGTTTGTAACTTTGAAACTGTATAAATAAAGTGTTATTTTTAACAAACCTCGTCGACTAAATTTGAAGTTTACTCAAATAAAAATATATGAGAATTAAAAAATTAACATAAATTAGTTTTTTTTTTAAATTGAATGGAAAAAGATGTTAGAAACAAATGCAACAAAATTTTCCCAACTGATTGAAATTATATTCCATATTTTTTACAATCCTTACTTGAAATTATATTTCATTCATTATTAAAAGTTACGCCATATATACACGATATCCAAGACAGTTTTTGTTTCGTTTTGATGGTCATTTATCAAACGTCTACCAGTTAAATATTTACTGACAATGGTCAACACTTACTTTATCGGTTAACATTTTTGACCATTAAAGTGGGTTATTGGTAAGTGTCTCTTATCTGGTTAGAGTTTATTGAATAATAGTCTTTTTCCTCACTTACTAGATAAGATTCTCGAATCTTATTATGTTTACTGGTTTAAATTGATATTTAGTAAAAATGTCCAATAAAGATTTAGCAACCATCCATAAGTTTAATATTTTAAAAAAGGGTATTGGCAAGTGGAAAGAAGGCCAATTATATGGTCATAATTGCAAAACACCAAGGATGGTGTTATGAAATCAATTTAAATAATTATCTATTATAGAAAGAGAGACTTGAGTACACGTAAGATCTACCTGTTTTCGTGAGTCCATTTTTTTACACTTGAAACTTTACAGCAAAACGCTGTAAAGGTAACCTTCACAATGGTTTTGCTATGAAGGTTCGGCTTTTTTTTATTTTTACCTTTATAACGTTTTGCTGTGAAATTTCAAGTGTAAAAAAGTGATCTCACGAAAACAGACTAGTCTCACATGAACCCAACCCTATATATAATATTATATGTGTAAAAATATATTGATGGATAGGAATTCAAATAGTAAGCAAAAAAAAGGTTCATTAGAATGACTATTAAGATTGAGTTAAAGTCATTGGTTAAGAAGCCACAATCTTAGGTGCTAGAAAAGGGACAACTTGAGGGTAGAAATTCTAGTTTCCTAGTGCCTTCTAGGAAATCCAAATGCTTTGACTCTTCAAAGGGTCCCAACACAAAACAAACCTAATATTTTGTCCAATTTGAAAAAATAAACCATTGTTAAATATTTATGACTTCTTTATTTGGTTTTAGAGTAAATTACAAAAGGCATCCCTCTAGTTTGAGGAAACTAGTTTTTGCTTATGGCGTTAACAGGTGTAGGAGCTTCTGTTGAGTGGCGTCACCGTAGGCAGACGTATGAAGGACTTAGGGGTCCTATGCATTTGTTCAAACGGTTTTTGTAGATATAAATTTTGTGGGGTATAAAAAGTGCACATGTTAAATTTTGAGAGGTGATCTGGGATAGTTAGAAAATATTAGGGATATCAAGCAAAAAAAACTTAAAAGCTCCTCGAAATCAATCAAACCCCCTTGGCCCCAAAAAAAATTCATTGAAATAAACCAAAAAGGGGGAAAATCCATCGAAATCAATCAAAAAACCTTAAAAGTCCCTCGAAACAATGAATATCAGCTAAACACACACCAGGGTTACGCTTAAGATGTTGTATATAGTTTTGCTAAAAAGGTTGATTCCATTTGAAAAAGGTGTTTTATCCCCCCAAATCAGCACAATTGACTTTTCTCGGGATCAAACCACATTGATTTTTAACATAACCAAACCACGCTTTTTACGGGCTTTTGATTCACCTTCAAGGTGTATTGGCTCAGCAAAAATTCTAAGTCTGTCATTCAATGTCACATGCCCCTCACATGCATTTTTGTCATTAATGTTCCAACCAAGTACACTAATTACAAATATTGATCATTTGGAAGGAAAACAGAAGTATGTTAATCATTTAAAACACATAACTACTGAAATTACAACTAATAGAAGGTCATCTTCAATTCATGGGCATTCATAATGCAAAAGAAGTAATTTATCATGTACATTAAATTTAATTAATCTGGTATCGAAATCATTTATCAGACACGACACTTGTATCTGATGTGTTCTCTAGTCTATTGCTGTCGTTTGCTTTCACACAATACTGTAAACATGTAATAATTGAATTACAATCAACCGAAGAAGAATAGACATTATTTTTATAATGTTGATGCATTGTTTGCGACATGTACGACACACATTTAATGCCCAATTAAACGTTGACAAGAATTAGTTGAAATTATCTGATTTTTGGTGTGAAGTCACTATAAGATTCTAAACAAATCGCTACTTTCCCTTTCCATGGTCAATAACAAATGAAAAAAAAAACACAATAAAAAGGTAGCAAACGAAAGATTCTTAATATACCAAAACCGCATTCTTATTGTAAAGTGTAAAACCTATGGATCATGAATGCATTAAAGACGTGTAATTGAGTTTGTGTTGTACTTGAATAAGATGTGAAAGAAAGAATCATGACAGCGCAGTTACAACAGCTGATATTAACTAATACCCTTATCGTAATTTTGCTGACGATATCTATGGAAAAAAAGAAAAAGTAAACATACACCTCATTTGAGAAGCAACCTAGTTTCCTGATATACTTTTCGGACCCACATTTTAACGTGAAAAGAAAAGATTGAGTTTAATAAAGGAGACAGTATTTTATATACACAATTTATTATACATGGCATTTTCACAAGAATATTGTAAATTATTAACAGTTATTATATAATAGTCTTTCAAATAAGGGCAAATTGCATGAAAAAGTAACGTATTTTAACTTGATTTCTACTTTGGGTAACGTTCTTTCAGAACTTCTATTTTGGTACCTAAGATGTAAAGTTTTAAACATTTAAGTATCCGGTTAACCGGTTGATGTGGCGAGTGATGTGGTATCCAACTCAATATTACTTGTTGAAACATTAACCATATACCACATCACTCGTCAGATCAACACATAGTAGTCGGTTATCCGGGTACTTAAATGTTTAAACTTTACATCTTAGGTATCAAAATGAAAGTTTTGAAAGCACGTTACCCAAAATAGAAATCAAGTTAAAATACGTTACTTTTTCATTCAATTTGCCTTACAAACAAACACAAATTTTATAAAATATTGTTTTTGTATTTTTATTAAATTAGAATAATTAAATTTATAAAAATATCTACAACACAATGATATGTGTGGATATAAATGGATTGGAATTAGACCATCATAACATATGCATACTACATTTCTTTTGTGGATTCTAATTTCAATATTTCTTTATTTTTTTTATAAAAAAAATAATGATAAAAAGAAAAAGAAAAAGAAAAAAAGTGCAATCTTACCCACCAATAGAAGTCTATTTTGATGGTCATTTCAATACATCTCCATTTTCTTAAAAATATTCTCATAGTGGACTCCATTCAATATAAAGCAAAACTATTATATTCCAATAAAATCAATTAGATGCAAAGATTTCTTAAGTTTTAGTCCAATATCATCTCTATCTTTAAAAAACGTATATTGTCTTGGTTAGATTCAATACAATTAATCAAAGTTATAAAATTAGAATAAATTCACTTGATGACTTCAAATTACATGTAGTTTTTAAAGAGTCTTTGACCTAGCGATATCGTAATTTTTGTCTTCCTATGAGGTCAGGGGTTCAAACATCAGCAAAGGTGGCGGAGAGTGTGTGAATTTATTTGTTGCATTTTTCATGTATAAATATTATATACTTCAAAAAAAAGATCACATGTAGTTGTCCGAGAGATTTGGTGTATATAAACTAATATGGATATCCATAGTTATCAAAAAAGAGAGTTAAGACGTGTACATACAAATGCTTCTAATTAAAACAAACTATAGATGTACGTTTAGTGTATTTGAGAATAATATAACTTTTAGAGGTTGTTTAGTTCAGGCAAAGGAATGAAAATGAAAATGGATTTGCATTCCTTACACTTTAACTCGAATGAAAATTTAGGCTTCTGAAAAGCTATTATATAATATATAATCAAACAAATTTTTACTATTTAGTACCTTCTACCAAACATCCCTTTAATTCACATACAAATGCTTTTAATTGATTTTGATATGGCTATTTAATAATATAATTTTATTTCTCTTTTTAAAATGCTTCTTCTACCTTCGGTCCCCAAATAAATATTCATAATAAAAAAGCCTATATTTAAAAAAATGTATAATTATAAATTTTTAATTAATTAAAAACAATTTTACTTCGAAAATAAACATCTATTTTGATGAAATGAAAATATTGACACTTGTTTTAGACAAGATTGAGTAATTAATTTGAAAAAGGAAAAGGGAAAGGAAAAACAAGAATTTGGAGCTGTTCAAAATCATTTGTAATCCTGAGATTTGCGAGTGCACTAAGTGATAACGGGACGGAATCATAAATTCCGGCAGCCCTTTGCTTTGTCTACACTCCATTCCATAGACGTTACAGTCAAAATTAAGGTATATTTTTGACCTTTCCGGTCGTCGTTTCGTTTCATCTCTCAACCACCATAATATCATTTTCATTAACATTGCCGTTAAATCCACCATTGTCGACACCTGGTCTACACACCGCCTTGTGACGCAATTTCCAGTCGAGTGCTTGACACGCGCGTGAACAGTAGTTCACATCTCCACACACCGAACACCGTCTAAACTCATGCCTCCTCGTCTCCGGTCTACCACAACCGCCATGGGAGCATAACCTTAGCTCCGGACACGGAGGTTTATCGGAAAACCAATCGGAAAGAAACTGGTTCGCCGGATGAGGTGTCGGAGCCGGAACATTACATCCGAAATCACTAAGTAACGGGCACCCTGGGCCCATGAGGTGTGGGAGCGGGTTCCACGTCAGGTGTTTACCGGAAAGCAATGTCGCCGGAGTAGTTGAAAGAACGGTGGCGAGTTCACGGGCGTTTGCTTGGATCAACAAACGCCGGCCTTCGGCGATGTTTTTACTCACGCCGTAACCGTCTTGTAGACAATGTCCAAGTTCCCGGAGAGCGTCGATATGGCCGAGAAACGCCGCGCGGGCACATAGAGCAACTCCGGCACGGAGGTCCTTGTCGTTCTTCAGTCCGCCGCTGCCGTTAAACTGAATCACGGCGAGCGAGTATAAAGCCGGAGCGTGAGATCGAATCGCTGCCTTCGCCATGAATGATGCTCCGCCTCCTCGATTTTGCAAACAGTAGAAACGAATCTGTTTCAACAGAATTCCAGAAACATCTAATTAATACTTGAAACGAAAGTTTGAACGAATCTGTTTCAACAGAATTCCAGAAACATCTAATTAGTACTTGAAACAAAAGTTGAAATTTCGCTTTCTTATAGAAGAATTAAAACTCACCATGCCGAGTGTGTAAGAAGCTTCAGCATTGCCGGCATCAGAACATCGCTTAAGAAACCGGTGAGACGATTCCGACCACTTTTTAGCTTTAACGGCGAAACAATTAGATGAAGCCTTAGATAACACAAGAGAATGAAGTCCTAATCCGTTAAATCTCTTACATCTGTTCATCACAAATAGAATCACAATCAGTCACACAAAATTGATGCAAAAACATGAGTTTGTTTTTCCGAATTCCAAATCCTTACGTTGATAAAACGCTAATGAAATCAGCAGGACAACCGACGGTGGAGCCGAGCTTCGCAAGGATAGATAAAACGATGTCGTCAGGAAGCGTATCGAAGAAATCACAGTGACTTGAAGCATTTACCACCGGTGTTCCAGATGACGATTTGAGCCTTTTCCGGCTGAGTATCATCTGTGCTCCGGCCAAATTGCCATCTCTCCTTCTCTTCTCGTAACACATGGTATTGACTTCTGGATAGCAAATTCCCCGTCGAGTTCTCATTCCCCTCTTCCTTCCTCCTCTCTCTCTCTCTCTCTCTCTATAAACACACAAATGGATACGGATTTTATGTGGGACAGCAATTTATATGTAGAGGTCGTGATTTTCTTATATTTTCTTACATGAAAGAAAAATAGTCCTTATATACCAAATATAATAGGGAAAGTTGCATCAAAATGAACCAATTTTCATTTAATTTTTATTTTGGAGAATCAATTTTTAAAATCGTCATTTTAGGGAACCGACTTGCACCTTATTTTTATTTTGGGGAACCAACTTTCAAAATCGTCATTTTGGGGAACCAATTTGCACCTGATTCCTATTTTGGGGAACCAACTTACAAAATAATTATAAAAAAATAACTAAAATTCGTTTTTTTTCCAAAAAATAATGCAATAAAATCTATTTTTCGTTTCAAATCTCGTTTTTTTTTAATTCAGATATCAAATTGAACAGTTTTTAAAAAAATCTAAATTACCACAATAAAAATTGTTTTTATACTAATGCAAAAAAATCAATTTAATAGAAAAAATAATTTTTACTAATGCAAATTACCACATTCAAGATTTTTATATCTAACCAATTGCATTAATTAATTTTTTTCTATTAAATTGATTTTTTTGACATTAGTAAAAAAAATAATTTTTATTGTGGTAATTTGGATTTTTCCTAAAATGTTCAATTTAATATCTGAATTTAAAAAAACGAGATTTGAAATGAAAAATAGATTTTATTGCATTAATTTTTAGGAAAAAAACGAATTTTAGTTATTTTTCTATAATTATTTTGCAAGTTGGTTCCTCAAAAGAGGAATCAAGTGCAAGTTGGTTCCCTAAAATGACGATTTTGAAAGTTGGTTCCCCAAAATAAGAATCAAGTGCAAGTTGGTTCCCCAAAATGGGAATCAGATGCAAATTGGTTCTCCAAAATGACGATTTTGAAAGTTGGTTCCCTTAAATAGAAATTAGGTAAAGTTGTTTCCATTTTAATGCAATTTTTCCAATATAATAATATGTATATACTATACGAAAGAAATACCGTAAAAAAATAAAAGATTGAGTAACGATCTATTAATTATTCATTTATGTGGTGTATATATATATATTTATATATAAATAATTCTTTCAATAAATACATGTCTATAATATATATTTTAAAAGGGTACTCACCAAATGAAGCAAGATATATGTCGATTTTAATGTTTTTCATTTTATTTTTTTGGTTTCTGTTGATGTTATGATACGAATTAATATGGTTTTGATCAAGTAATAATGTTTGTCTTAATAAAAATATAAATTTGAGATATCATAAAAAAATTTAAAAAAGTTTTCATTTTCTTTTTGTAATTTTTATAATTCAATTTTTTATTATAATATAATTTATGTTCAATATAAATAATTCTTTCAATAAATACATGTCTATAAAAATTTATGTTCAATTTTTTGAGATATAATTTGGTTTAATAAAATATTTTTTATGAATATAATAATTAAGTATTCTGTCAAAACTCAATAATTATCTTAATTATTTTAGATATATTTAAAATGAGAATTTTATCATTTATCTGATTATATTTATGGAGCTTAATAAGTTGTACGTATGCACAATTTACTTGTAATCTTAATTTTTAAGTAATATGTATCAATAAGCAGTACTTCATATATAAAAAAGATTGGTTTTTAAGAGTTTGTCAAATGTTTTATAATATAGTATAGACTTATTAAATCAAGATACATCTTTAATTGTATATGGGGGCTCATTCAAAAGAAAAGTGATTAGTTTGTTGTAACCGTGAGATCCAATGTGAATCACTCGTTTGAGATATTTAAGGATATTTCTTACATAAGGTAAAATGGTAATATAGTAATTCTGTTTTTGATAACTAATCAAAATTTTTAATTAAAATTTTTAAATAATTAATGTAATTAAAAAATAATTACCTAGTATATCAATTACCTAATAAGATATATTGTATCTTAAAAACGTTTGTGAATCAAAGTGTATCATAGTGATAACGTTCACAATGTTTCACGTGTATCACAGTGTATTTTCTTTGTTTTAATAAATGTATCATAATGTGTATTTTCGTTATTTTATTGTTTTACAAATGGTATCACATTGTGAATCTTGTATGTATATTTGGGTATCACAATGTGTATCTTGCGTTTACATAAGGTTCGTCGAATAAGATTCGTCGGAAAGAGAAAAAAAAAAAGAGATGAGAGAAGATATTTATAAAATATGTAAAATGTTCTTAATTAATATTTTAAGTTAAAATTATCAAAATTATTAATTTCCTAAGTTAACTTTGATTTGTGGTTAAATTAGATCTCACAGTTACCACAAACAAATTAGTTCTCATTTGATTAGGCTCCTATATGAATATACATGTGTGTATAGGAGCTCATTTAAAGAAGAACTGAATAGTTTGTGGTAACCGTGAGATATAATCTTAACCACAAATCAATAGATAAATTAGAAAATTTATATTTTGGTAATTTTGAATTAAAATTTTAATATAAGGACATTTTAGGTATTTTTCTCTCCTCTCTCCTCTCTTCTCTTCTCTCTCCGTCCTCCGTTCTCCATCATCTGGCCACCGTTCTCTGATGATAACACAATGATATTACAATACATCTTATATGTGATATATATAGTTTTTACTTTATATATATACATATACGAGAGGACTAGTTTTCGAGTAATGACTTTGGGGAGAGTTTGTTGTATACCAACTAGAAAGTCGGCATTTAATTAGTGATTTGATCATTTTGTTACTTCTTTTTTATTTTATTGGTATTTTAGTTTTTAATTTTTACTATTTAATCCAATTTAAATTGTTTATTATAATTAATTCATCGAGTAATATTAAAAGACATGTGTATATAGAGAGTTGGATTTAACCAAAAACACTCGTCAAATAATATAAGGAAAATCACCAAAACGACCAGAATGTACCTGATGTATTAACGGAATAATCATTTTTTACGAAAATTGTCAAAATAACCATATGGATCGCCCCCGAAGGACATGGTTTGACCATGGGGGGCGATCCTCTTAATTGACCAAAAAGTACGAAAAATACAAAAAAATAATATAAAATTAATTTATGGAGTCCATATATATCTACTTTAGGAAACCAAACACTAGTTGCCTCGATATATGAGATCGCCCCCACCTCACCGGATCTTCCCCCGAAATAGCGGTCAAACTATATACATCAGATATAATATCTGATTTTTGTCCCCCAAATCAACAAATAATTTTTTTTGTGTCCACAATAATTATAGAATTTCAACATTTAGTGTGGTAAAAATATATTTTTTATAAGAAAATATAACAAAATTCGTTGGTTAATTTTTGCGTTTTTAAAAAAGTGGTAAAAATTAGAAATCTTCACGTACAATCATATTATTTTAAGGGTTGTCGCAGTAGATTGTGTTTACGAGTTGTGAAAGTAAAAGTGTTTTATTTTATAAAGTAAAACCATGACATTTTGTCCGAAAACGGTAAAAAAATCAGTTTAAATCGTCATCTATTTATTAAAAACACCAATTAATCTATGTACACTAAAAGACAAAATAGTAGTAAAAAAAAGGATGGATCGCCCCCGGGGTAGATCCGATGAGGTGGGGGGTGATCTCATCTACCGAGGTAAATAGATATTGGTTAACTAAAGTAGAAACATATGAGCCCCACCAAATTAATTTTTTATTATTTTTTCGTATTATTTGGTCAAATATAAAAAGGACCCCCTCTTCCCATGGTCAAACCATGCCCTCCGGAGGTGATTCATATGGTTATTTTGGTATTTTTTTTGTAACAAATGGCTATTTCGTTAATATATCAGGCATATATTGGTCGTTTTGGTGACTTTTCCTTTACGAAACGGTTAAATCACATGTGATTATGGATGACCTTGATTGCGAGCTAGTTTGGGGACTAAGTTGCCCACACATTCGTTGATTGTGTTCTTTAATGTGGTTTCAGTTCAAAATCACATATGATTTAGTTATTCTCGTGTTATCTAATTTTGACCATGTTCTCATTTGATCCTCCATCTATATATATATCTATAATATACGTATTTTGTCGTTATAAATCATGACTTGAAAAATGATGCGTCTACTTCGTAACTCTTAGAGTGTGTTTGGTACACTGGACATGACATGACAAGATAGAACGGAAGAAAGATCGTTTTTCCACGTTTGATAAAACTTTTATGCGAAACAAACAAGAACAAAGTGAAATAGGCCTATTTCATCTCTACCCAATGGAACAGAGGTGGAACAGACGTATATTTTACCAATATAACCTTAAATTAAAAACTTAATTATCTTCTAAATCATTAAATAAGTCTCACTTTTATATTTTATTCACTCTTTAAATTTTATTTATTGTATATTATGTTTTTTAAATTTTCATTTTACTATTCTCGAAATATTAGTCATATGATCTCTATATTTTTATTAATTATGTAATTTATTATACATTAATAAAAAAAAATAATGTAAAATAGGGATAAAATAAATATTAGAAACTACATAAACTTTATATTTTTATGTCATTTTAATTGTTTTGATGAAAACTTTCTAATGATATACTTTGTTATAAAAATTAATTATTTTATTATAATTTAATAAATTACATAAATTAATCAAAATATATAAACAACTCATTATGGGTAAATTAGTTATCTTACTGGTTCCATTATGTCCAGTTCCGTCTTACAAACGTTGAACAATTATTATGTCATGTCTTGTTCTGTCATATCATGTTTTGTGCTATCCTATTCTATCTGGACACGAAACGTATCCTTAAAGCTTAAGAATTACCTTCACCACCACACATCATCCCATCTCATACCATTTAAAACATTTTTTAAAATAATGATAATCATACATTTTTCAGTTTATTCTATTTAAAGATTTCTTAAGGCATGTTTGTTAGCGACTTAATTAACTTAATGAGACTCGCAGTCTATTCCGTCAGCTGTATATGAC